GATTGATGGGCACTTGGGCTGTTTCCCAGCCTTGCAATTATGAATGTGCTGCTATAAACATTCGAGTGCAGGTGTCTTTTGTAGAGTGTCATTGGATCATTGGTAGATGCCCAGCAATGGGATTGCTGGATCAAATGGTAGATTCACTTGTTTCGCTTTAAGTATCTCCAATTGCTTTCACAGAGGTTGAACTATTGCAGTCCACCAGCAGTGTAGAAGTATAGAATTTTTTTATTTCCATCTTGATCTTCATTTATGAAGTAATCATTTAGTAGGAGTGTTGTAATTTCCACGTTTTGTGTAGAAATGTGAGTTTCTGTTATGGTTGATTTTTACTTTATTCCACTGTGATCTGAGAAGATACATGGTATGATTTCTTTTTTTTAATTCTTGAGGTTTACTTGTGCTAGGATATGGTCAACTTAGAGATGTCCGAGCTGATGGTGAGAGAACGTAATCAGTGGATTGGGTAGAATGTTCTGTAAACGTCAGTCAGACCCAATTGTTCTAGAGTTTTGTTTAAGCCCATTATTTCTTTATTAATTTCTGTTTGGAGGATCTGTCTTGTGCCGTCAGTGGGTGTTGAAATCTCGGTCGATTATGGAGTTGCTATTAATCCATTTGCTTAGGTCCAGTAAGGTTTGCTTATGAATCTGGGTGCACCTAAGTTGGGTGCATATATATTTAAAATGTTATCTCTTTGTTAGTGTGCCTTCACCATTATATAATGACCCTCTTGTCTTTCACTACTTTTGTCGTTTAAAAACTAAATCGTCTGAAATTAGAACTGCACGCCAGCCTTTTTTGGCTTCCACTTGCTTGGATACTGATCTCACCCTTTTACTTTTAGTCTATATGCATCCTTGCAGGTTGATGTGTTCCTGAAGACAGCATAGACTTGGCCTGTATTTTCTTATCCCTTCAGCCGCTATGTCTCTTGAGTGGAGGGTTTAAGCCATTCACATTTATTGAGAGAACTGTAGGTAAGGTAGTTACTGTTCATTCTGTTGGGTTGGATGTTGTTGCTTTGATTTCTCTCTTGAGCCTGTGATATCTGGCCTTTAATCTTTTGTTTGGTTGTTTTATATTCGTGAGTTTTTATTATGGTGTTCTGTGCGTACGCTGTTTTGAGTACTTCTTTGTAGGGCTGGTCTTGTCTTGGTGAATTCTTGAGACTTTGCTTGTCTGAGAATGTCTTTATTCTCTGCTTCATATATGAAGCTTAGTTTGCGGAAAAAGATTCAGGGTGGGCATTGTTTTGTTCAGAAGAGTGAGAATGGGACCCAGTCTGTCCTTGGTGTAAAGTCTCATTAGGAAATCTGGTGTTCGAATTGGCTTTCCCTTGTATGTCACTTGCTTCTTTCATCTTACAGCTCTTAGAAGGGCCTCTTTAGTTGATATTTTGGTCAGTCTGATGACTGCATGTCGTGACGTCTTCCTGTTTGCATTGAATCTCCCAGGGGTCCTCTAAGCTTCTTGAACTTGTATATCGAGATTTTGAGCAAGGCCTGGGAAATTTTCCTCTATTATATCTTCAAATAGCTTGTCCAACCCTTGGGTGTTGTCCTCTTCCCCTTCTGGTAACCCTATGACCCTTCTTCACATAATCCCACATTTCTTGTAGGCTTTGCTCTTTTCTCTTGTTCTCGCTCTATCTCTGTGATGGTTTTATTTAGTTGGAGGTGTTATCTTCAATCTCTGAGATTCTTTCTTCTGTTTGATCTACCCTGTTCTTGAGACTTTCCACTGTATTTTGTAGTTCCCTGATTTGATTCTTCATTTCCAGGAGTTCGGTTAAACTTTTCTTCATTGTGTCCATTTCTTTTTCCAGATCCTGGAAGCTTTCTGTGGTTTCTTTGTGTTGTTTATTTTATTTATTTATTTTTTTAAGAACCAATGACTAAGTCCATTATGTTGTTTATTGAGTTGTTGTTGCAGCTCGGTGAGTGTTCTTATGATCCACATACGAAATTCCTCTTCTGTCATTTTGGGTGCCTGATTTTGGTTGGTGTCCATTTCTAGGGGGCTGGTGCTCCTCTTTGGGGGTGTGTTTTCCGTTTGGTTCTTCATATTTCCTGAGTTCCTTCCCTGATTTCTTCCCATGTCGATCAGTTGTTGTTTCTTTCCTTTAGGTTTTTGTTTGGGTATTCACACGCCTTGTTTAGTTTCTGAGCCGCTAGGTGGTGTCTGTGGGTGAGATTCGACTACTCTCTGTATAATGAGTCAGTGGGTGCCGTGGAAAGGCTGTGCAGGATGCCGTCCCTGTCAGTAGGTGGCGCTTGCTTGGAGGAACAGGCTGTGCTGTTGTTTTTGTGTCCTGTTATCAGCTCTTGTTCTGGGTGGAGCTGGGTTGGGTAAGCCTGCCCTCAGGCACCACCAATGCTGTTAGCAGGGGTCAAAGTTCTGTTCTCTGCTTCCAGGAAAAGGTGTCAGGGCGGGGCTGCAATGGTCCAGCTCAGCCAGAAAGTCTGCTTGTGGGGGTGGGGCTATCTGAGACCAGCAGTCTGGAGCAGGCCTTGCTTCTTTCCACCCTCCCCAACTCCGCAGCTACTCCTGGGCCTCTGCCAGCAGGCCAGACCACACGCCACCAGGCCTCCCCAGATTGTGATGCCGGCGGGGAGGTTCCCCGCACAGAAACGCTGCCTGGGCTGGGTGCACAGCCTCCCTTTGGTGGGAGGGTTGCCCTCTAGGACGCTGATCTGCCCCTGGAGGCACACACACCTCAGCGGGCTGTTCACAAATATCCCTTCTGTGCCCCGGGGAATGCTAGACCTTGGTGCACGGGATCTGGTCTGCAGGTCCAACCTCTGGCTCCCAGAGTTCAAACTGTATCCCCACCAGGGAGAGGAGTTCCGGTCCCAATTCACTCACAGGGAGCCCAAGCTGTGTCTGTGTCTCTCAGCCTCTGAGTCGGCACCATTCTCCTGGGAACACCATGCCAGCAGCACCTGGGAGGGCTGGCGGGTAGGGAGCTCACAGTCTGAGTTCCCCTTAGTCAGCTGTAGGGTCCCAAAAGGGAAGGTCCCGTTCCCTGGAGGTGCCTCCGGCTGGTGGCTGTATTGTCTCTCTGGGCAGCCGCAGGTAGGGTTGGCGGAGGGGAGAAGGAGGCAATATGGCGCCTGCCGCGCGGCTCGGGTCTGTGCACACGGAGGTGCCCCGAGGGATTTGGGAGTCTGGTGCCGTGTCCGCTACAGGCTCACCGCTAGCTGGCGGCGGCCATCTCTGGGCTGGTGTCCGCAGGTCTCTCCACCCGCTGGGGAGCCCACCAGCAGTCCCAAATGCAGGGGAGGGGAAAGGTGATTTATCCACCTACCCTTCCCGCTGGTCTCCGGGCTGCTCCGGCGGTCTCAGTTTCCAGTTCTCCTCCGCAGCCTCCTCCCGTGGAGTCTCCCGGGATCTCAGATACCCCTCCTTCTAGCCCTCGTCTGCTGTATGCTCACCTTCTTGCTTCTTTTTTCTAATTTCTGCTAGAATCTGTCTTTTCTGCAAAGACACTCTTTCTGGTGGTGTTTCTCATCCGCCATCTTGATCCTCCTCCGATAACCTGTTTTTCCAAAGTTTATCATCTTTAGAAACAGGATCTCACTATGTTGCCCAGACTGGTCTTGAACTCCTGAGCTCAAGCAATCCTCCCATCTCAGCCTCCCAAGTAGCTGGGACTATAGGTATAGGGCACTCATTTTTCAGTGTACAGTTCAGTGGCACTAAGTACATTCACACTGTTGTGCAAAGCTCACCACCGTCTGTCTCCAGAACTCTTTTCATTCTGTAAAACGGAAACTTTGTACCTATCAACCAATAACTCTCCTATTGCCCTCCCTCTCCTTCCAGCCCCCATCCCACTCTAGGTATTTCATATAAATAGAATCATACAGCATTTGTCCTTCTGTGATTGGCCTATTTCACTCGGTATAATGTCTTAAAGGTTCATCCATGTTGTAGCATGTGTCAGAATTTCCTTCCGCTTTAGGCTGAATAATTGTAATTTCCACACGATCACACAGCCAGTGAGCAGAGGAGCTGGAATTTGAACCCGAGTGATCTAGCTCCAGAGTCTGTCCTCTTAACTATGCTCAGGGTCAGCTCCTTAGGCATATGACCTGTGCAGTCACCGAGGGCCTTGTGCTTAGAAGGGCTCTGCACTTAGTTTAATAGTTTGCTGTTGCCATTTTAACATTTTTAATAGTTTTTTCAACATGAGGCTCTGCATTTCCACTTTGCACTGGGCTCTCCAAACTATGTAGCTGGTCCTGACTACGCTATGCTATCACAACAACAACAACAACAACAACAAACGCTAGGCATTTTAAAGACTTAGAACATAGAAGTTATCAACTCTTAAAACAGTTTGGAACTTGCTTTATTTATTTAGTCAAAGATTTTATGATCTATTATGTGCCATGAATTATGATGGGCACAACAACCAAAAGATATTTATTTACCTGTGTAGCCCTCAGCCCAGAATGGTATGGTTTACAACTCACCAGAATCTCTCATTTGATCTTCCACAGCAACCTTATATTAAAGAGAGCTTATATGTTCTCATTTTACAGATACGGAATCTGCAGCTTAGGAGATTTGCTCAAGGTCACATTGCTGTTTACAGTAGAAGCAAGATTAGATTGCAGGAGGTCTGACTCCTGGCTGCAGCCTTTCCCACCACTCTCTGTGGCTTCCAATTCTTGAAATGTCAGAGAGCTAACGCAACTTTATAAACAAGGAAACCATGGAGAAATTTGATTTGCTTGAAACAATGTGTCACAGTAATTCTCGTTATCAAGATTTGGGTTTTTCTGTACTTTGGGTCAAAACCTGACAGGTTGTAGTTTTTAATGCTTTGAGATATCTACAAAAGAAAAACGTCTTAACCACAGTTTATTGCATAAAATACATGGAACAGACATAGTAATAGAACAGTCCTTGTTATGGGATCTGAAAGAGAAGGTTTGCAGAGTTCAGGAACGTTGCTTAAGAAATGTGATTATATAGGAATTGCCCACCTGGGTCGAGTGACAGGGGGGTAGGAGCTTGATAGTCTCAGAGCATCCTCCCCAGTGGGTTCCTGCCCAAGATGTTCAGGACAGACGGCGTGAACCTGGAGTCTTGGAGCTCGGCTTGAGTCTGTGACCTAGGATAAAATGTGAACAGAAGACTCTCAGGTGAAGTCACTGTTTCTTAGGCAAACAGACAGACTTAGAGTTCCCACTCCCAGGATATACTCCCAGAATGGCAGACATGCATTGTGTAGACAGATACACTTTTGGGCTTCCAGGGAGACTATGGTTAAGTAAACTGTGAAACCTGTTGCTGGATAATCTCATTGTCCCAGCGAATCAGATACATCTTTTTCCTGTTACTTTGGGTTTTTATGGTTGGAAACAGTACAGGATTGTAGCTGAAAGCATGGACCTTTGCATTGCTCTGACTTCAGGGACCAGCACCAGTGTTTTTGTTAAAGTAATGTTAGCTGCTATTACAGTTAAATTTCAATTTGTCAGAGGCTACATAACAACAAAGCTTGTTTTCTTGCTTGTATCGCAGTCTAATGTTCCTGGTTAGGTGGCTTTGCATGTGCTCATCCAAGGACTCATACCCTTAGTGCACCACAGCTCCCTCCCTCTTCTACCTGGGTCCTCGGTATTCCCTCAGATTCAGCTAGTGGATTACAAAAGAGAGAACACCTGGAAAATTGTGAAGGCGTTTTTGTGGGCTAGTTCGGACAGAGGTATGCATCACTTCTCCATATTCTACTAAACAGAACTTAGTCACAGGACTTCCCCAGGATGCAAGGAAGCCTGGCTTATGCAGTTTGTGGAGAGGGAATTACCTTCCAGCAATAATATCTCCACACTTCAGAAGAAAGCCTGAGTCCATGCTGAACATTGTCATCTGTTGCACAACCACCTCGGCTGCTTAGCTACTGTATGGCCTTGGCGAAATTTCTCTTCCTCTCTAAGCCTTAGTTTGGGATCCATGAGATGGAAATACAAACACAGTCTAGATGCTATACGTTTGTTTCTGTAAGGCTAATTAGCCCACATGCAATTGGTAAAGCAGCACATGCTATCGGTGAACACAGAAGTGGCGTTGGTTCCTATCTGAGTTCTCTCTTTGCATGTTAACATTGGGTGCCACCACATAACAGCAGCTGAATGCAAAGGCCACCAAGCCAGGTAAGTCAGCAATGCGCGTTCTCTGCACATGTTTCCTCTGGAATCAGTCCCACCACAGGGTTTCTCTTGAAATTGCTTAGTGCATTGCTTCCCCTGATTCTTGTGCATTTTTACCTTGTCTCCATCACTCACAGACATCAACCTTTCCTTACCTACCCTTCCATTAAGCTGTTTTAATATTTCGACTTTTTATTTTGAAGTAACTTCAGACTCACAGATAAGTTTCAATAATAGTACAAAAAGTTCTCATGTATTCTTCACCAAGATCACCTAAATGTTATTTTACCACATTTGTTTTTATATCTGTCTAGCCACATTATGTTTCCTTCTGAGTTGTTTGAGTTGTACATATGATACCCTTTTAATCCCTAAATCCTTAATTGTGCATTTCCTAAAAACAAGAACATTCTCTTATATAAATATAGTACAATGATCAAAATCAGGACACATACACTGATAGAATATGTATTTTTGATATAATACTATTATTTACTATTATTGAATCTATAGCCCTTATTTAAATTTAATAAATTGTCCCAATAATGTCCTTAGTATCAAAGGAAAAAATGCTTTTCATGGTCCAGGATCATGGAAGCATTTAGCTGTCAGGTTTTTTTTTTTTTTTTTTGGTTTTTTTTTTATTAATAGACTTTATTTTTTACAGCAGTTCAGGTTTACAGAAAAATAAGTGGAAAGTACAGAGAATTCCTAGGTATCTCCCTCTCCTCTTCCCACCACAGTTTCTCCTATTATTGACATCATGCATTGGTGTGGCACATTTGTTACAATTGAAGAGCTAATATTAACACCATATTATTAATTAAAGTCCACAGTTGACATTACAGTTTGTCCCTTGTGTTGTATATTCAATAGGTTCTGATAAATGTCTAGTGACAAGTATCCACCATTAAATACAGGGTCATAAAGGATGGTTTTACTCACTAAATCCCCTGTACTCTACTTACTCATCCTTCCCTCCCATACAGTACGTAGCCTTTGCAGACCAGCTTATACTTAGCAATGCATTTAAGGTTCGTCCATGTCTTTTTGGGGGCTTGAATGCTCACTTTTTTTTTTTTTTTGGTCATGTATTTTTTTGTCTCCTTTAATCTGAATCAGTTCCTTAGCCCTCCTTTGTCTTTTCTGATCTTGATATTTTTGAAGACTACAAGCCAGCTATTTCATAAAAAGTCCCTAGCTTTACTTTTTTCTTTAAGGTAATGCTCTATGTTTATTGTAGCATTTCTTTATTTTTAAGAAGTCAAAATATCCTTTCTTTTTATTATAATTGTTATTTAATTACAATTGTTAGTCCTCTAATTTATAAGGTTGCATTGGTTTTAAGCAACCTGTCTTAATCCTATTTTTCATGTAAGTCTGTTATTTTTAGTGCACAATTTTGCAAAAGGCAAATTTTTCTTTAAAAAGGATCAAAGAGAAAGTCAGGGAACTGGGACTGCAAGATAGGCAAAAAGTAATAATATTTGTTTTATCAGAATCCCTGAAAAAGCAAACAAAGTAATGGAACAGAGCTAATATTTAGAAGTATAATCCCAGAAAACTTTCTAGAAATAAAATAGAGCTGAAACTATACATTGAAAGAGCTCACTAGATACCTGAGAAAATTAATACAGAATAACCAACTCTGAGATATACCCAGGTATAATTATTAGAGCCAAAGATAAAGAAAAAAGTCCTTAAAGTCTCCAGGCAAAGGAAAAAAAATTAGGCTAGCATCAGACTTTTCAAAACCAAGACACAAAGCAAGACAACGACTAAGGAGCATTTTTAAGGCACTCACTCAAAGAAAGTATGAATCAACTTTATTTCCAGCCGAGCTGTCTGTCCTTCAAATATTAAGATTATAGGAAAACAGTCTCAACATAAAAAAAAATGTAGGGAGTTCTGCATCAGTAAGCTCTTCTTGAGGAATTTACCAGAGAATGAACTTCATCCAACTAAGTTATGACTGGGGAAACCTGAGTAAAAGAACTCATGATGAGCATTTAATAATTTATACCTGTACACATAAGACTAAAACAAAGGTGAAGTTGAGAGTGGAACATTAGCATACAAATATTACATATTATGACAAAGTAGAAATAATATATCTTAAAAATAGGGAAGTATAAGAGAGGAAAAAATGAAAATAAAAATACTCATTGTTAGAGAGGTAATAGGTAGATGTTAAAAGATATTCGGTAATGAGTGAGATGTGCACCATCTGGGGGATGGTCACGCTGGAAACTCAGACTTGTGGGGGGAGAGAGGAAAGGGCATTTTCTGAAACCTTAAAATTTGTACCCCCATAATATGCTGAAATAAAAAAATTAAATTAAATTAAAAAAAAAGATATTTGGAAAAAAAGCATGATAAAACAAATAATAAAAGGTTAACTAACAAAACAGGGGACCAAGGGCATTGAAAAAGGTATAACTACAAAGGTAATCACTAAAATCAAAATATAAACTTTCCTTAAAAATTATAAATAAAACAGTAAAGAATGCACATCTCATAGAGAAACACAGGAAGTATAACAAAAAATAATAAAATGTTATGAGAGAATTAATACCAAACATGTTAGTCATAACAGTAAGTGTGAATGTGTTTATCGCACCTATAAAAACAAAGATTTTCAATTTGGCTCACAAAACTAAACCAACTATATGCTGTGTACAGGAGACACACCTAAGACAAAGTGATTCAGAAAGGTAAGCATCAAAAGATGAACAAAAGTAAACCAGGCTGCCCATTGCAGTGGTGTGCACCTGTAGTCCCAGCTACTTGGGAGGTTGAGGTAGGAGGACTGCTAGAGCCCAGGAGTTTGACACCACCCTGGGCAACACAGTAAGACCCTGTTTCAAAAAAAAAAAAGTATATTGGGTAAATGGACATAAAAAGAGAGCAGGAAGAGCAAACCTGATATTAGACAAAGTAGACCTGGAAATGTAAAAAACAAAACAAAACAAAAAACCCAATCTCTTATTAAATAACTCTTGGCTGAAAGGAGAAATACAAGCTAAAACACATAATTTTAAACAAATAATAGACACTACGTATCAGAATTTATGGAATGCATTTAAAACAGTAATTAGAGAAAAATTCATTGCACTAAATACCTTTTCAATTAAAGTGAAAGGATAAAAGTAACGAATTAAATTTGCAGTTCGAACACTTAGAAAAAGAACAGTGTAGAACAAAAGAAAGCACGTGGAAGAAAACAGTAAGGATGAAAGCAGAAATTATTGAAAAATAGAAAAATAGTAGCTCTAATTAATAAATCAAAATCCTGTTTTGGGGAAAAAATTAATAAAATAGGCAAACTACTAATTAATTGATCAAGAAAGAAGAAAGTACAGCACATAGAGCAAGGCATGACAAGGAAAAAACCTTTCAAATACAAGAAATTTTAAAAGTCAGAAGTAACTATTTTGCTGACCTCTGTGCAAATAAATTGGAAAATCAAGATGAAACACATAATTTCCTAGGGAATTACATATTACTAAAATTGGTTCCATTAAATTTAGAAAATTTAACCAATTTCCAGACAGAAGAAATTAAGACAATTATTAAGAAACCACCCCACAAGATAGCACCAGGCCCGGATGGTTTTACAGGTGAATTCTACCAAGTCTTTAAAGATCAAACTGTCCTAACACTTCATAAATTATTCCAGAGCATGGAAAATTTGCAAATTCTTGTTATGAAGCAGGTATAATGCTGATACCTAATCCAGATAAAGACCGTACAAAGAAAAAAACCTGTTACAGATCTATATCACTCATGAACATTGTCAGCAAAATTCTAAACAAATTGTTAGCAAACAGAATTTAACACCACACTAAGAAAATAATACACCACAGCTAAGTGGGTTTATTCCAGGAACGCAAAATTGGTTCAATATTAGGAAATCCTTTAGTATCACTGTGTTAGGGTTTTCGAGAGAAATGG